CCAGTAATGCCCCCAGTACCCTGCTAACCCCCCCTGCCCATGTACCCTGGTGCACCAGTAACCGCCCCCTGTGCCCCACCGCTCCCTGGTTCTTGCCCCCCCCTGCCCCACGCCCCGGCATGGCCCCACACCCTCCAGCCCCCCCCGGCACGTTCCGCAGGTGCTGTCGAGCACGGAGGAGATAGTGGAGCTGTACCGGGAGCTGAGCCGGCACCCTGGGCTCAGCGCCGCCTGCCTCGGCCCCGACATCACCACCCAGTATGGGGGCAAGTACTGCAGCCTCTACACCGGTACGGGGACGGGGTGGCCCCCTGGGGATCCCGGGGGGGTCTGGGGGGTCTCCGCCTGCCCGGCGGGGACGCAGCGGTTGTCCTCACCCCGCTCCTTGCAGAGTGGTCACAGCGGGACCTGGCGCGGGCCGAGAACGTCAAGTTCTGCCGTCAGTACCTGATCTTCCATGATGGGGTCTCCGTCGTCTACTCGGGACCTGCCGGCACCTGCTCCGAGATCAAGGACGAGTGAGTCCCATCCTGTCCCCCGTGCTGGCATCCCCTCGGGGTGCCGATGGCAGGGGGCTGACGGGCGCCCGCCCACCCGTAGGCTGCTGAGCCGGGAGTCCCCCAGCGGGGCGCTGAAGGCTGTCCTGCGCAAGGTCCCCGGCAAGGAGAAGGAGAAGGAGAAGCAGTTCCTGGAGGTGAGGAGGGGGCCGGGGTGGGGGGCTGGATCCACGCTGTGGCTCGGGGCCGCCCCGGCATCTCTGCCCCCAGGTCTGGGATCAGAACCGCAAGGTGAAGAGCATCGACCTGACAGCGCTGGACAAGCACGGCAGCGTCTACGACGATGGTGAGGAGCCAGGGGATGGCCAGGGGGTGCTGGGGGAAGTGGGTTCCTGGGGGGACGGGGTGACAGGTGCCTGACCCATCCCTGCAGACCAGTTTGGCTGCCTGGCCTGGTCGCACTCGGAGACCCACCTGCTCTACGTGGCAGAGAAGAAGCGTCCCAAGGCTGAGTCGTTCTTCCAGAGCAAAGCTCCCGAGCTGGGTGCTTCCGACGAGGACACGGGGCACCCCAAGAAGGAGGATGCACCCCTTAAGGTGGGGTCCCCCCGGCCCGGGGCTGACAGTGGCCGGCAGGGCGGCTGTGGGGCTGACAGGGCTGTGCCACAGGGCGAGCAGTTCGTGTACCATGAGGACTGGGGGGAGGCGCTGAGCACCCGCAGCGTGCCCGTCCTCTGCGCCCTGGACATCGAGGGCAGCAGCGTCTCAGTGCTGGAGGGCGTCCCGGAGCACCTCTCTCCCGGCCAGGTCAGGATGGGGGGCTCCAGGGAACTGGAGAAGAGAGGTTTTGGGGGGCAGTGGTGGGCTGAGCTGCCTGCCCCCCCCTCTCCCCACAGGCTTTCTGGTCCCCTGGTGACACCGGTGTGGTGTTTGTGGGCTGGTGGCATGAGCCCTTCCGCCTGGGGCTGCTGCACTGCACCAACCGCCGGTGAGTCCCCGTGGGGCACCCCACCCCACAGCCAGGCCCCCCGGCCCCATGGTAACACCCCTCTCCACTGGCAGGTCAGCACTCTTCTACGTGGACCTGACGGGTGGGAGATGCGGTGAGCAGCGCGTGCCCCAACCCTGCCGGTGCCCTGGCACCCCGCAGCCCCTCACTGTCCCCTCGTGCCCATGCAGAGCTGCTCTCTGAGGACACCAGGGCCGTGTGGTCCCCCCGGCTCAGCCCTGACCGCTGCCGCATCGTCTACCTGGAGAACGATGCCCTGGGACCCCACCAGCAGTGCAGCCGCCTCCGCATGGTGAGCGGCATCGGGGGGGACACTGGGGAGGTGGCGGGGTGCCCGTGTCGGGGCAGGGCCTGGCAGGAGGGCAGTGGTGCCCTCTCCCAGGGCTGCAGCGGGGGCGGGCGGGCTGAGACCCTGCAAAACTCACCCCGTGCCATGTCTCCCACAGTACGACTGGTACACCAAGCACACCAGCACAGTGCTGGAGGCCGTGCCACGGCAGGCATGGGGTGAGTACGGCCCTGGGGGCAGCAGTGGGGGGCAGGAGGGGGTGCTGAGAACCATCGCTTTCATTGCAGGCGCCTTCCCGGGTATCTACTGCGGCGCTCTGCCGGGGCTGTGCTGGGCGGCCGACAGCCGCAGGCTCGTGCTGGATACGGCCCAGCGCAGCCAGCAGGTGAGGGCTGCCGTGCTGGGATGGCGGGGGGGGGCATACGGAGGGCCGGGCCGGGTGAAGGCTCCGCTGGACTCTGCCCTCGTGCCCCTAGGACGTGTTCGTGGTGGACACGGTGACGGGCACCACAACCTCGCTGACGGCCGGTGAGTGCCAGGCCAGTGGGGCCATGCCGGTGCCAGGACCGGAGAGAGGGCCATGCCTGCAGGTCTGACCCCCCCCTCCTCCCCAGACGCCCCCCAGGGAAGCTGGTCTGTCCTCACCATCGACCGGGACCTCTTGGTGGCCAGGTTCTCCACCCCTAGCTGCCCCCCGACGCTGGTAAGGTAACGCCCCCCTCCCCAGCGCCCACCAGCCCCTCAGTGCTGGCACCAACCGTTCTCCTCACTCAGAAAGTGGCCATGCTGCCTGACACCGGCCGGGAGGCACAGGTGCGGTGGGTCTGCCTGCAGGATGCCCCCCCCGTGCCTGGCATCAGCTGGGGCATCCGCACCCTGCGGCCCCCACCAGAACAGGAGCACCCTCAGTACGGTGAGTGCCCGGGGGGGCCGGGCCAGCCTCTGCCACCTCTGCTGAGCTCTGACCCCCCCACACACCCCACCTCCACAGGGGGCCTGGACTTCGATGCCATCCTCCTGCGCCCAAGCGAGGGCCCCGCTGCCCAGAAGCCCCCCTTGGTTGTGATGCCCCATGGTAAGAGCTCGTCCCCCTCCATGTGTCCCCACCCCAGTCAGGTAGCGTCACCCCCCTTTTGCCTTTGCCTTTCGCAGGAGGTCCCCACTCTGTCTTCACGGCCGGGTGGATGCTGTACCCGGCAGCGCTCTGCCGCATGGGCTTCGCCGTGCTGCTGGGTGAGTGGTGCTGGGGAGCCCAGGCACTGCCGGGTGGCAAAGTGCCCACGGTGGGCCGGGGCGGGGAGAGGAGGGGCTCTGACGTTGCCTCCCCCCACAGTGAATTACCGCGGCTCACTGGGCTTCGGCCAGGATAGCGTGGCCTCCCTGCCAGGCAACGTGGGCACGCAGGACGTGCATGACGTGCAGGTATGGTCCTGGCACGCGGTCCCGGGGCACCCCGTGCTCCCGCAGTTGCCCCAAGGAGGGAAAGCGGGGCTGTCTGCCTCAGCGGGTGTCCCCTGTGGTGGCAGCTCTGCGTGGAGCGGGTGTTGCAAGAGGAGTCACTGGATGCCGGACGGGTGGCACTGGTGGGCGGCTCGCACGGGGGTTTCCTGGCATGCCACCTCCTCGGCCAGTTCCCCGACACCTACCACGCCTGCGTGGTCCGCAACCCTGTGGTGAACATCGCCTCCATGGTGGCCACCACCGACATCCCCGACTGGTAAGTACTGCTGCCCCCGTTCCCCCACCGCGCCGGCCCTGCACGTGCCCCTGTCCCTCTCGCCTACAGGTGCCTGACGGAGACGGGGCTGCCCTACACGCCTGACGCCCTGCCGGACCCGGCCCAGTGGACGGAGATGCTGCGCAAGTCTCCTATGTGCTACGTCGACCAGGTACGTCCCTGTCCTCGTCCCTGTCTCCGCCAGCAGCGCTGGCGCTGAGGCTGTGCCGCTCCCGCAGGTCCGCGCACCCGTGCTGCTGCTGCTGGGGGAGGACGACCGGCGCGTGCCCCCCAAGCAGGGGCTGGAGTATTATCGTGCCCTCAAGGCCCGGGGGGTCCTCACACGGTGAGTGGGGTGCTGGGTGCCCAGGTCAGGGGGTGCAGGCACGGCGCTAACCCCTCTCTCCCCTCCAGGCTGCTCTGGTACCCGGGGAACAACCACGCACTGGCTGGCGTCGAGGCCGAAGCCGACGGCTTCATGAACATGGCGCTGTGGCTGCTCAAGCACCTGCGGTGCTAACGGCCCCCCGCTGCTGCTGCCCCCCAATAAACGATGTAGTTCAGTACCCTTGGCATCTCTGATGGTGATGCTAACACCAGCGTCGCCTCCACTCCCGGTGCCCCAGGAGGTCGTGGCCACCGGACCCTTCTCCCACGCAGCTCGGCATTTGTGCCACCGGGGATGCGGCGTGCCACGGCAGAGGGCGAACGCCGCCCAGCCACCCCGGGCGCGCTGGGCAGCGCAGGGCAGCTGGAGGGCTGGCGCCAGCTC